CTGCCTTACAAGCATCTGCTCTTCATAACAGCTCAGTCCTAAGACCGAGTTGTTCAGCCAGTCATGGATTCAATATTTACTTGATGATACAATATTTACCAAGGCACTTTTGCAGCACGTTTGTCTGAGGAGGTAGTGCTGCTGTGCGCACCCTATCAAAGACTCATTACATGAGGGATTTAAGTGTGAGCGTGGAGGTGGCGGTAGGGAGTCTGTGTCACATCTACGGTAATGTGATAGTGGCGCAACGTGTGCTGGAACCGAGCCCGTTCCATGCTTGGAATTTGTGTCTTCAAAGTGTTGTGTTGGTTTCACTTGACTGGGTACAAACATTGTGCCAGATGTGTATCTGCATCCAGGCAGAATGACTCACATTTAAAGTTTAACCTATGTACAGGTACATATAAACTGGGGGAGAGATTCATGCTCTTTTTCCCCAGAGGACAGATGTCTTATGGCGAGAACATGGATAAATATGTGGCAGTGTGAATACTTGATCTTTGTGGAGTGTGACTGGCTGTATACCACAGCTGGCAGGCTGCATACCAATAGGCTTGCCTTCATCTTGTACTTGTTGCATCAACTTCACAGCCAAAGTGTTTGATCCGTAAGCCTGATTAGTTTTTACAGCTGTCAAAAGAAACATTTCTACCTGCTTATGTATGTTCTACTTATGTAATATCTAAGCCTGAAACATAAAGAGATTCAATAGAAGACACTTTGTAGTCTGGGTCACTCTATGACAGTGGTGGGCAGTCTTGGTCCTCAAGGAAAGCTGCCTAATTCACTTAGTGTTTCCTCACTCCACCTTCATCTAAGATGGTATCTTCCAGCTTCTGATTGTCTGAACACACCTGATCCAGGTCATCAGCAGTGAGTAGGGCGGGAGTGGTTGGAAAACAAGCAGGTCAGCGGCAATCGAGGGCTGGGATTGGCCACCCTTGGTCTAAGAAAACAAAGCTGAGTATGAATGCAAACTAACAGTGAGAGTATACTGTTTTTTGTGTATATTCTTCTTTTCTTGTTTTCCAAGGTCACCTTCGAGCTGTCTAACAATCATCCACAATTTGTGTTTTGTTTTTTTTACTTTTTTGCAGCTGTGAGCAGTTCCTTCATTTCTTTATGGTATTGCATTGTAGAAACGTAGAGCACATAAATGACATCCAGTAGCCAAACATTTGTTAGCATGCATGCTGACTCTGGGGTATAAGTAACTGCAGTTGATTTCAACTTTGACCTTACTTGTGCTTTTTACTGGTTATTTTTTAAGATCAGATGGAACAAGAAAGATAGGTGGTTTGTATTTCAGAAATGTTTTAAGACACCTCCAGGCCAAATGTATTTGGAAGAGAAAATAATGAACTGTCAAATTATTTGTTGTAAAAATCCAGTGCAGCTTACAAGACTGACTTTGTGCCTCAGATTTGACCCAGTGTACTGACTGCTCATAGTTGCATCAGTTTCACCTGCTGGTAAATTGGTTTGGATGATCTGTCTAAACTGGTTTGTTTACAACATGTTTAATTGTCTAACTGTTGCCTGTTGCAAGTTGTTATTCCTCTTTTAGCAGCTCCCCGACATGTGGGTGGGGGGTCGCCACAGAGGAGCACTGTGGTCCGATTATGCAATCTAACACAGTTTTCACAGTAGATGCCCTTCCTGATGCAACCCTATGGGGCAATTTAGAATTACCTGCACATGTTTAGACTTGGGGAGGAAGCTGTGGTACCCAGAGAAAACTCACGCAGGCACAGGGAAGTTCAAAGTGTTTTATTTGTCATATGCACAGTTAGGAAACGTGTTTCCCTGTACAATGAAATTTTACTTTGCCGTCCACATGAATGCCACAAAATACTAATGAAATATAAAGTAGATAAATAAGTAACACAAAATCTAAGGCACTTTAAGCAGCAAATGCAGAAATATAATAAAAATATATAAGAATATAACAGAGAATGTATGCTGCATGGGAGCAGCATGTGCAGCAGTCAACAGTCAATGTGCAAACTGAGAATGTAAACAGTACATCACGTCTTTCCTGGTAATAAACTCCTCAGCTGTGAAGTCGTCCGGTTCTTGTACCATGCTAACTCTGAGAGACGAGGCAGTCCAAGTAACTTCAAAACAGTGCTGATTTATTCAATGAACACAGGTAAAAATTAACATTACACGCTCAGGTATCTTGCACCTCCAAACTGCTCGCAGGCAGATGTAAGATGAAAGACCCTGAACCAAAACAGGGCTATACATTTATCACCTCGGTTGGGCTAGCCCCATACTACACAGAAACGTCAACCGAGACGTCTCTGTT